AAGCCAATAGTTGGAAATCCCTCTTACAATCCGAGACCCCTCACTCCTTTCTGCCTGCCTGCTCACTGCTCCTTACCACTCGGTTCACTGCTCCTTAGTGCTGCCACGGAGGCAGCAGAGGTTTCTGCCACCACCACTTCACTTGCCAGCCGTGAGCCCTATCTTTCTGTGTAGTTGTCCGTGGGCCTACTGCTCTCTTCCTTCTTATTTAGGGTGAGCGGCATGTGAGGGCAGAGTGTGCTGTCATAGAATGCAGAGGGCTGCCTGAAACTGAGGGGAGTGGTCGGGCCCACAGGGTGAGAGGTGGACACAGAGGATGCTATCTCACCCAATTGTGGGGCGGGCTGGCCGGCCTTCATCTGCCTGACCTCACCCAGGGAGGGACCAAGCATGGTGTCTGCCTCTCCATTCTCCATCCTTCCATCTGTGACACCTGTCACCCTTGCCAGGCTTCCCCCAAAGTGGGTTCAGCTCAATCCCTGAATGTAAAAGTGCACGGAGGGGCAGGGGCTCCACTCCAGTGCCCCCTGATTCCCAACAACAGGACCTGGTCGACAAGACCTGATCTTAGGATGGTGGCCACAGCTGCAGAACATAGATCTGTTTCAAGTAAAGTTGGGAATGCAGGCTTTCATATGAGCCCCTATTAGAAAAGGTGGCAGTTTATTCACATTGTGGCAAAGACACCTTCAAGAGTAACATAAGTGGGTAAAGTCAGGGCCAAACTGGGCCATTTCTTCATCCAGTCTTTCTGAGGCACATGGACAGAACCAATTCTCAGCTCTTTGCAGGACACTTCCTGGCATGAGTGTGATGGTCAATTTGCATATCACTTCTTTATTATATAGGGTGACATTACTTCCACATTTTTGTCACATTCCCAAACCAAATTTTTTCATATATCCAAGGAAATGTAGACAAAGCCTATTATTTATATACTAGAGGCCTGGTGCATGAAATTCATGCACTGGGGGGTGGGGAGAGGAGGTCCCTCAGCCTGGCCTGCACCCTCTTGCAGTCTGGGTCTCTATTTTTAAGCCTAAAGGACAAGTTGTCTGTCTCCATTCTTATTCTTTGGGATTTTTTCATCTTCGGATAAAAGGATACATACATTGGGGCAATCCTCTTGAGATACAACAGTCCAGTTACACCCATGTGATGGCCCTCAGAGGGAGGGAGCCAACAGATGGGGAGCAGGGAATTCTGAAAACCAAAGCAAAGGTTCAGAACATGGAAGAAGTCCTTGGTGTTCTTCTGAGAAACTTGGATTCCTTCCTCTGCGGTCACACAACTGTCATACGCCAGGCAGTCACCCAGAAATATCTTGGCATTGGCCAACTTATGGAATTCTCCCTTCTCTCCATTCTCCTCAGCCGGACTCCAGACATTGACTGTGGCATTCTCTTGGTCATTGTTTTGTTTTGTGTGTTTTTTTCCCCCCAAATGTTACAAAGTTTATATGAACATAACATACGAAGATGCAGCCTTCTTTGTAGGAACAGGGAAGGAAGGGGTGGTTAACTAAGGCACATGGAGCTGCATCAAGCACCAGCTGTGTGGAGGGTCAAGGGGGAGAGGAGGTTGGTACTGGGCCAAGGCCCTAGAGCTGTTGCTGGGGAAGTAGGGATCCCCTCTGAGTGGCCACGTTCTGAGGCTGAACTAATTGGTCAAGCTGAGGCAGAGGTGGGTGGCCATATCTGCCATCTTTGGTGCTGTTTACCCTTTCCCACCCCAGCTCTGTTGTAAAACCCCAGAGCCCTCCCAGCCAGAGCAGAGGCCCTGGAAGGGGGTGAGAGGAAGTGAGAAGGGCAAGTTTGAAAGCCGATATGCCTGAAGGATGGCCGGAAACAGTGGTGAGAGGTAGCAGGGAAAGGGCTCTCATACATACCCTCCTGTGGGGGCCACAGGTGAAAGAGGCCAAGGGAGTAGGGTACAGATGGGGCACCATGACCCCAGCCTCTTAGGCATCCCTGTCTGTCCTCTGCAGTATACATGGAGGAAAGGGGTTGCCTCTGAGGAGGGGCCAGGCCAGGCCAGGTGACCATCTTGAGTTCTGGCTGAGGTGATGGTCCTCAACCTGAGATGCCTTCTAACTGGTGATGGACCCAGACCTGATTCCAACTGCCGCTGGGGCCCAGGTCTGATTTCTGCAGCCATCTCTTCTGGGACCCAGGAATGACTCCTATAGCCAGGACCCAAGTGTTCGGTCAACCATCGAGTCGTGATGGTCCTAGGCTATTATTAGTATATACTAGAGGCCCAGTAATGAAATTCATGCATGGAAGGGTCCCTAGCAGCTGGCAGTCACCTGCCTCAACCTTCCTTCATTCTGTCCTGTCCCCTGGTGGTCAGCACATGTCATAGCAAGCGATGGAACTCCCAGTTGATCAAACTCCCAAAGGGACACTTTGCATATTAGGCATTTATAAAGTATATTGATATCGTGTGTATGTGTTTCTCTTCTACCAACAAAATATTTTTAAATCTTCCTCCAGCTTACTTTTTATTCTTCAGCTTCAGAATAATAAAATTCCCCTTCTTTATAAATGTTTATTTATTCAAATAATATTAAAACTAAAAGAAAGTTGTAAAAATAATATAGAGTTCACATATGCCATATACCAGCAAGCCCCCTCTGATGGTGTTATTTCACAGAATTAGTATCATTATAAAAACAAGAAAATTATTATTTGTCCAGTGTTCTTAAAAATGCTACAGCCCTAATTTCAATTTTACAACATTTCCTAATGTTTTGTTTTGTTTTTTTCTGTTCCATGACTCAATTCAAAATCTCACCTGGCATATAGGAGTTGTGCTTCCTTGTGTTATGTTCTTCAATATCAATCTTTTCTAATCTGTGATCGTTTATCAGTCTTTCCATACACATCAAGACCTTGACACATTTTCTGAAACAGGTATTTGGTAGAATCACTTCTCAGTTTGGATTTGTCTGTTGTTTTTTCTGTTTCATTGAGGTTATGCATTTTTGGCAAGAACACCATAGGTGATGTTGAAAGCTTTCCCTCTAAGATCAGGAAGACAAGATGCTCACTCTCACCAGTTTATTCAACATAGTATTATAGGTCCCAGTCAGAACATTTAGGCAAGAAAAAGAATGCAGATGACATGATTATTCATATAGGAAACCCTAGATACTCCACCCCCCAAAATGTTAGAATTAATAAATAAATTTAGTATAGTTGCAGGATATAGAATCAATATACAAAAATCACTTGCGTTTCTTTATGCTATCAATGGACTACCATTTACAATTGCATCAAAAGGAATAAAACACCTAGGGATAAATTTAACCAAGGAGGTGAAAGTCCTGTGCACTGAAAACTATAAGGTATTGACTGGAGAAGTGATACAAACTAATCCTATCATTACTTATTCTGTTGCATAAATTGTCCCTGTAGTATTAGGAACTTTTCAGGTTGGCTGCTAGGTGTTTCAACATGGCCTCCTCATTTTTTTGAGCACTTCCTTATATTCCGGTACTATAATATATCCCACTCTTCTTGTATTTTTCTCTGCCTTGGCCCTAAAATCAATAACTTCTACAAGGAGAATTGGTTTATTTTATTGTAGGACAGTATTTAGAAATACTAAGATCTGGTGCCTGTACTAGGCATGGGAGCCAATCTGGGAAGTTATATTACCAGAAATCTTGTTTAGTATATCAGAGAAGACTTTGCAGCAAAATCACATTTAAAATGACACTTGAAGAATAAGTCAGTCTTATTAGACAAAAAGCAGTAGGAAAAAGAGTTTCCTACAAAGAGGTTCTATAGAGGCCCTGACATATTTGAGAAGTTGAAGGATTAGTAAAACAAGAGTTTTTTTTAATTTTTTTTTCTTGAGGTAACATTGGTTAATAACATTATCTAAATTTCAGGTGTACAATAGTATAATTTGATGTCTGTATACTCTTTTGGGTGCTCACAACCAAAAGTCTAGTTTCCATCTATTATCATTTGTTTAACCCCATTTACCTACTTTGCCCTCTCTCCACTCTCTTTCTCCTCTGTAACCACTATTTTGTTGTCTATATCTTTGAATTTGCTTTTTTATATTGTTATATTTGTTCATTTATTACTTTTTGTTTTATATTTTAAATTAAATCAGACAGTTTTTGTCCGTGTCTGTCTGACTTATTTCACTTAGCATAGTACCCTTAATATCCATTCAAATCACAAATGACAATATTTTATCTTTTAATATATATATATTCTTTATTAATTTCGGAGTGGAAGGGACTGGGAGAGAGAGAGAAGCATCAGTGATGAGAGGGGATCATCTATTGGCTGCCTTCAGCATGCACCACACTGGGGTTGGGCCTGCAACCTGGGCATATGTCCTGATCAGGCCAACGCTCAAACACTGAGCCATGCCAGCTGGGCCAATATTGTCACATCTTCTTTATCCATTCATCCATTGATGGACACCTAAGGTTGCTTCCATATCCTGGCTATTGTGAGTAATGCTGCAATTAACATTGGGGTGCATATATCTTTTTGAATTAGTGTTTTCATGTTCTTCAGATAAATACCCAGAAGAGGAATGACTGGATCATATCGTAGCTCTAATCTCAGTTTGCTGAGGAACTTCAATGCTGTTTTAGAGAGGGTGAAAGGGAAGCATCTATCTACCAGGGCTGGAGGGTTGGGACAGGTATCCCTTTCTATAGAAGAGTAGCCTGTGCAGGTCAGGAGAAACTGAACAACCTCGGTGTTCTTGGGGAAGGCATGTCATAAGGTCACCACAAACATCCACAGTGCTTGGCATTTCTCAGTTAACCAGGTTGTTAATATATATCATTCATAATTAAATTAGCCTCATAATTCATTGATTAAATATTTAGTAACGACAACTGTGTGGTTTACCTTTAAAATATGAAAGATCTGGGAGATATTAAGTGAGTTGCCCAAAGTAAAAAAGAGTAAAAAAGCCAAATGACATAGTAAAAAATGTAATTAAAATTAAATATTTTCTCCTAGAGTTTTTCCAGCAGCTGATTCATTACAGTAAAGAATACAGACATTTGCCAATGCTAAAACTCTGGCTTGGCACAATACCAGTAATAGCCATGGATAAGGCCGAAACTATAGAGGTGAGTAGATGGTGACTATGATCAATGTTTCACTGTATATTTGATGGTGTGAGAATCTCATCAGAATAAACAGCAAATATATGTCCTTTTATTCAATTGAATTCAATACAATGAGGATTCCATTAAATATCTAAGGCTGTGAAGGTGCCCTTTAATGCTTTCCAGATAGAGTCTGAGTTCTGGGAAGAGTAGCAGCTGCTACATGTCTATACACATTTGGTATC